AAGTAGCATCCTGGAAATAAATATAAATAAATTACTTCCATAAATATTAAATATAGCATGCTCATGGCTACTGTGGTAAGTAATGCTACGTGGGCAACAGTTCGAGCTCTAACAAGGTCTTTTATTTCTTCCTTTTTGCCTCAAAAGTTTATCTTTTGCTAGTTAAGAAGATAACATGGACCTTATCAGGTACTCTATAAAATATGAACCTGTTCATCAAGTATTCTGTTTTCTTTGTTTATCTTTTAACCTATGGAGTGGGGACTTTTCTATTGCAGTCACACAGTTTGTGTTTCAGAAGACCTAAGTTTTTTGTTGGTTTGTTTAATGTTTTAAAAATTCTACAATGTATGTTTGTCTTTTGTTTCCTATGAAGTGTGATCTGTTGGAATTTCAGCAGTTTCATTGAAACAATAGATGTATATGTATCTATTCATTGCTTTTGGTAAATCAAGCTTAAGGAGGGAATGTTTAAATTAGATATCAAGGGGAAACTCTTCACAGAGAGAGTGGTGAGGTGCTGGAACAGAAAGGCTGTGGATGCTCCATCCCTGAAGGGGTTCAAGGCCAGGTTGGATGGGGCCCTGAGCAACCTCGCCTAATACAAGATCTAGAGGTCAGCAGCCCTCCCTGTGACAGGGAGGTTGGACCTTGATGATCCTTGAGGTCCCTTCCAACCCAAACCCATGATTCTATAATTCTATGATTAAATCCCTTACCAGCTCTTAACACTTTATATTTAAGCAGTATGTATATTTGCTATAATTTCATGATCTTTTCCTGCTTCATTCAAAACTAAACAACATAATTTCAAAGTCGTGACTAGCAACTTCAGACATTTAGAGTGGTCCTAAAACTACATTATTTCAAAGGTATTAGAAAATAATTGATTCTTACTGATGCTACATGATGTCATGTTTACTTCTCTCCTGGAAAGTATAAGTGAAACAATTTCACCTATATTTAGATATTGTTTATCATTATTTTAGAATATCCCACACTTCAGGCATGCTGAGCAGTAGGAAATTACAAGCCATTTCCTTCAATCATTGTTTTATTCTTTCCCATAAGATGCTGGTTTTTATGTTTGAAATACCAGAAGGATGCAAAATAGTCTCTTGACTCTTTGTCTACCAACTTCCTTGGTGTTATGTAATTGTGAAAGTGTTGAACAAAGAAGTGGAGTAGATGATGAATGATCTGAAAAACTGTTTTTCTTTACAGATTCTGATTCTAAACTCTGTCAGATTCATAGCTGTAGTATTCAACATTGTTTAAATTTATCAGGAATAAAAGGAAAGAAAAAAAAGGAAAAAGCAGTGTGTGCTTCCACAGAAACACACTATGCTCTCAGCCAAAACTAAGTGCTGACTTTGTATTCTGAAAGATGGTTGTGAAGAAAACTTGCTCACTGATTGTAGAATCATAGAGCTTCCTTACATAAATCATTCTTCTTGTGAAGGTATAGAAATACTTAGTGTAAAAATCAGTACTCCAGATTGTTTCCTAAAATCCAGTCCCACCCTTTTGCCACAACCATCAGATTGTACTTTCATAAATCCTTGCTTCAGAAAGCAGTGTTACCGTGCTTAATTCATGATCCTGTTAGGGACTGGATATATATAGATTTTTTTTTGTAAATATTACTCTATTCAAGAGAAGTAATATCAGATTGTTTATGTAAGAATGCATAAAAATCATTATGAAAGCTATCAGCAGTCTCTCTTTAGCAAAATACTGTCATCCAGTTTTCTCAGAATGAGTTCTTTAAAATCCATTCTGTTTATATATTTGCAACCTGTTAATATTAAAGAGCTGTTCCATGATTATGAAATCCATTTATGACTGAATATTTTTCACTTTGGGAGCAAAAAGAGGTCATTTCACCATCTAGAAAATTGCAGTGCATTGTTCTGTCCTATATTCTTAATCTCCAGTTATATAAAAAAAATTATTTATTCCCCAATTCATTTTGCATCTGGATCTCTGATTAAGATTGGTCTTGAGCCACTTCCCTCACTGTCTCTGCTTTTCAGTAATATCTAGGAAGCATTAACTCAAAATTACGTTCTTCTTAACTATCTAGAATGTTGAATTTGCTTGATCTGGTAGGGACTCGTAGTTTTAGGCTAGTGGAGAACTACCACTTGGATATGTTCAACAGAAGTTTATTTTAGCAAATGTGTACATGTCAAGCTTTTTATTTTCACAAATAGGAAGCTTATGTATTTAAATACAACGTTAACTAAGACAGAAAAGTATTAAGATTCTATCTTCTGCAAGATTGATTAAAGATCAGTTCCATTCTAAGTAATACTTTGAAACTTAGAAACATGAGACTTCAGACAAGGGCAGAGAATGAGGGTGAGACCTCCTTCTTTGCAACTGTTGATTCCTTCTCTCAGAATTTTGATGTCTTTTCCAGTGGTCATATCGTATCTCTTCTTTTTTTCTTGATTATATTTTTTAAACAAAGTAGAACAAAGCTTTTGTATCACTTTCTTTGGTCATGAAAGACTATACTAAATATAAAAATGTGTCAGCATGGGAATGTATGTACTTTTCCAAATTCATGTGTAGGCTGGAGACACATTGTAAAGCTAATGGGCATCCACATCATTACTTTCACTGCTGTACAGTACAGAGCATCTAAAAATAATGAGAAATGGTCCACTGTTTATCAAACTTGATTGTTCTTGTACTTACTGAAAGAAGACATTCAGAATTTTTCCTATATGCAGAATAAACTTTCAGCTGCATCATAACATTTGTGTATTCGATCCCTTACACAATGCAGCCAGCAACTAAGGAGTCTATCACTTCCTGCAATAACATACTTCCCTAAGTTACTGCTCATTTGCTGGTTTGTTATCATTTCCCCATTCTCTGTATTTTGTTTGATCTGCATTTTTTTTTTTCCAGTCAAAACATGTAGCCATTTTTGTAGATAAAATTGAGAAAAAAAATTAGTTCCTTTAATTTATTTCTTAATTCACTCTTTCATTCTTATTTTGGTTAAGCTGACTTGTGAATTTGTCTAAAAAAGTAAAATGAGCTATGTACTTTTATGATCTCAGTGTCTGGATGTTAAAGTATGATAGAGTTTCAGTTCTGTTTTCATTCTGGAATTCCAATTTACTGAGTTCTGAATATGTACCTACAAAAATTTCCTTAAGCTCCTTCAGGAAACAGTTGCTTTATGTCTCTGAAAATGTCTTCATACACATGAATACACTCAATGTGTTATAAGCATAATCAGCTAGGCCCTGGAACATTTATGTGAATGGTGAAGTCATCTTACTAGTCTTTCAGACCTAATGCTGTTATAGCATGCTTATCAGGACCGTTCAGTGAACAATGGACAAAACTTTTAACTAGATGTCAGATGCTGCTCTTGTTTCTGCTTTGCGAAGCCATTCAGGCTCTTGGCTTTCAGGGGTTGACTGTAAGGGCAGAATTTGAAAGTATTGAAAGTTCAGAGTGATGCATGAACTAGAATGTTGCATGACTGATGAACTTGACAGGTCTAGAGCTTACAGAAGTCATAATATCAATCACTGAGTGCCAGAAGCCATTGAAATAAAGAAGTGGTAACTCATGCAGTAAAACTTCTGCAGATTTCTTAAGAATATAGAAATTGATAACCAATAAAACAAAATTATGACTCTATAACACTATCTAGTAACTTGGAAAGAAGAATTAGGTGTAGGTTAATATGAAGTGCTTTAAATTATTAATTATACAGTAGAAAATAAATCAAAATTATTTTTAATCCTGTTCCCAGAGTAGGCAGACAAAATCAGTGCCTAACAAATACAGAACACATGGAAGGAATCCCTACACTAACAGTATGCTTTCAAATTATTAAATTCACTATTTCTGTATCAAGTAGAATTTTTTTACTGTAGTCTATAACAGCTATAATTTTACGATCTTCAATTGCTAACATTGTTTTGTTAGCCATGATGAAAGTTGTCAGAAGGTAATTCACGTATGCAGTATAACACAGTTACCTGCAGACATTACTAAAGTAATTATTTGATTTAGCATGTAGTTAATATCTTCTGGTGGCAAGATACTGGCTTTTCTTTGTCAATAGCATGGTGGGCTATTTTCTGAAATTTTCTTTACCTTGCATGCAGCCCTTCATTTGTTTCATATGTGTGGCTTATTAACAAAAAGCTTGAGGCAGAGCCAGTAAGAAGTTTGAATCGCAGCAATAATGACAGTGTTTTGATGTAGCCTCCATTCTGGGAGAAGGAATAAATGTGGTATGTCTTGGCACTAGTAAGGCTTTTGACATAATGTTTTTATAAATGAAGTGGAGAATTATGGCCTACATAATTATCTGCATATTAAAATACACAACCAGTAAAAACCAGACTGGAAAAAATGAAAAGGGACGTGGGAACAGCCTTCAGCTGTGGAATTATGTGAAGGCATGAGATAAATAAAGCATTTCTAATTGTAACATATTATCTGAGGGTATGGTAGAAACCATTGCATGAGCAGCAGTCTTCCAAAGTCTATCGATACATGTACTTATTCCAACTTCAAAGTAGGGAGCTAAGTCAAATGATATCTGAAAGTCCTGTCTAGCCCTGCTTTTCTGTGGGAGTACTCTCTTTATTTTTGAATCTCGCTCTTACTTTGTACAGAATTATATAAAGGTTTTTCAGTTCACCTACCTTAAGAGGTGTAGGTTAATTTCAGAGTGGTGTATAGAATTTGAAATTAAACTTCTAGAAGGCTATTTATCAGTTTTGTTAGTGTAGAACCAAAACAGATTGTGTTTACATAAAAAGAAACAAAAACACTATATATTGATTCTCATATTATAAAGTTACCTTGCAGTTCATAAAAGTATATTCTTTCACTATCCACATTATGAGGTATAAAATGTAAGCAGTGAAGCATAAATAATTTTTCAGTCCTCGAGATGCTTGCAGATGCCAGTGAAATTATGGTAGTATGGTTAATATGCTCTTTATTTTCTACAGAAATGTATTTTCTGCAGACAGAGAGTTAAGAAAACCTCAGGTGCCTGCATTCAGTGTTCGTATGGACGCTGTCCAGCCTCCTTCCATGTGACCTGTGCCCATGCTGCAGGAGTGCTCATGGAGCCTGATGACTGGCCGTATGTTGTCTACATCACTTGTTTCAGGCACAAGATCAACCAAAATGTGGTAAGGAATTTGTTTAATGATATGTTAAAAATCAGAATTGCAGAATTAAAATACGTTTTCAGAGAAAATGAAAGAAGGGATCCACATAATGTATAATGGCTTCATCTGATATATTTCTGTGCATAAAAAAAGTATTTCATCTTGATGGTTTTTTTTCTCATTATGTTATCTGGTAGAAGTAATACTCGATATGCTAAGAACATTTTTTGCATTAGACTCATTGTTGAATATGTTGTTTTGACAGTAGCATGAGTGTCTGAGTTCTCTGTTTTGTTAGCGTGGAATGTATTGAAAATACCTAGATCACAGTATCTTTCAAATACTCTCAGATATTGAGCGACGTGGTATATATGTAAGTTCTTTGTACCGCAGCCAAGCAATGCCACACAAATATCCAGTTATAATCATTATTTCATCTGGAAAAGCAGCAGTGATGTGTTATGAAAATTCATATTATTTCTTTATCTTTTTATTTCTAGCCTATGCTGAAGAGGAACTTTTGATTTTAGAAGAGACACAAGAAGAATTAGTTATCACAGTCCCATAGGTTTAATATCTTTTATCTTAATGAATTGTTACTTATTTCAGAGAAATCTCACAATGTGTCTTGGGCTTTTAAGAGTGTATTTTCTTTCCTAGCGAACTAGAAGATATCTATTAACTAGATATCACAAGATATCATTGAGGAAATAACTTGATACATTGTTCAAGTTGAAAATTCTCAAGTTTCAAACTCTTTATTTTTATGTGTATTTAATCTCCTTTATACACTAACATTGAAATAAACCCAGTTGATGTATGTATAATGTATATCTTTCTTTCAAGAGGCTGTCAGTGAATCTTTGATCCTAACGACAAGACTACTAGAGAAAAAGATCTCCTTTTAAGTATAATAAAATGCCTCCCAACTAGAGTGATGAGCCAGTCCTGAGTTTCAGTCTGCTGAAAGTTCATCAAAAGGCAAATGAATCATATGTCCCTGCTTAAAATCTCCCCAGAAATGTTATGTGTTATAAAAATTTTTGTTTTCAAAAAAAAGTAAATGTAAAACTAGTATACTTTACATGGTTGTTATGTCTTCATACATTTTTTATGAAAATAATTTTGATTTAAAACACAAGCAAACTGCAACCTCTATATGTACTGGTAACTTAAAGTCCTTGGCTTGTTTAGAAAATGCTACTCGCTAGTTGAAAATTACTGGACTAAAGCATGGCCAATAAAAATATGGCTGTTCTTCCTAAGTGCTTAATTATATTTCTTTTCAGACATAGTACCATTACTCCAGGTAGTGAGATATTCATCAGTAGCTGGGAAGTCATTCCTTGATCAAATAAGTTTTTCTGCAGTATCCTTTCTTTTGTATCCACTTCATGTATATGTTGTGGCTACTGCTCTAGCCCCTCCGTTTTTCAGACTTCCTGTAATGTATCTGTCTATTACACTGGAAGACCCCTTATTCTCCCCAAAAAATGGCACGTTATTTTCTTTACCTGTTCTTTATTATGATACTGAATGTGCTGAAGTTACAGATTATTTCTTCTCTGTTTGTATAGTGGACAAACATTTACCTAAACAAGTGGTAAATCTATCCTAAACAGACTTCTTTTTTTTTTTTCCTGGTAACTCTATATCCGTGATAGTTGTTAATAAAAATACCTACAAAGTATTAATGATTAACATGTAGATCATTTAAGCAAATTTATACTTTCTGTCTAATATAAAATACTGCAGGCTTCAGCACTGTCATTTGACTTTTAGCATACGCTTTCCCTAAAAGAGAAAAAAAACTTTAGAACAGCTATTACTTTGAAAGCTTAGAAATTAAGCGCATACTTGTTCCATTTAACACAATGATAATAAAGTGAGAGAGATTTCCCCCAGATTCTTAGTGATTTTCAGGACTTGTATTTGGTAGCATCAAACAGAAAAAAAGTGTGAAGAAACAAGATTTTGTGTAGCTGTTTTGAAGTGTTTGTGTGAATAATATTCAAAGTTGATTGGATGAAACTGAGATCACCTTTTCGAAAAAAAAATCATTATCTTTTTTCACTTAGCTCAAATCAACATCAGATGTGCTGAAGAGAAGGAAAAATAGTGTGTGTTTTGTTTTTTGTTTTTCCTTGGACCTGAGTTTGGAAGGACATTTTGTTAAAGAGAGTTTTTCTGTGGTAATCTTCAGTTAGCTGTGAATGTAGTGGATTGAGCCTGGCTGGCTGCTTGTTGCCCACCACACCGCTCTCACTTCACTTCCACAGCAGGACAAGGAGAGAAAATAGGACGAAACAGCTCATGGGTTGAGATAAGGGCAGGGAGATTGCTCACCAGTTACTGACACAAGCAAAACAGGCTTAGCTTGGGGAAGATTAATTTAAGTTACTGCCAATTACTGACAGTGAAGCAGTGAGAACTAAAAGCGAACTAAAAGCACTTTCCCTCCATCCACACTCTTCTTCCTTACACCCCCCCCGAGCTATGCGGGGGAATGAGTAATGGAGGCTCTGGTCAGTCCATAGCACTTTGTCTCTGCTGTTCCTCCGTGGTCACACTCTGCTGCAGCTCCACGTGAGGTCCCTCTCACAGGGTGCCACCCTTCCTGCACCAATCCATCTACGTGGGCTTCCCACAGGCGGCAGCTGTGATCTGCCATGGGGCAGCTGCTGGGCTCTTCTCACAGAGCCCACTCCTGCAGCCCCCAGTACTAATGTTTTAAGTAAACTGAATTGCCAGTGGATTGTGGCAAAAATGTCAAGGATTTATTTATGATCGGTTTTAAAGTCTGCCTTTTGAATTACCTAATCATGCCTTTAAGGTTTGGGATTTTTGTTATCATTGTTTTTCTTGTTATACCTTTCTTAGCTATTAGCTGGTCTTTTGTGCAGACGTTATATTGCTCTTCGCTATTAGGTAGAACTGTGCATCTTTATTCTAGTGACAGATTTTTGTCTATTTTCATTTCCTTGCTTACAAATAGAACAAGGGACATGCAGATTCACTCTGCAGAATTTTGCAGGAATCAAATACATTTTTTCAGCAAGAACAAATTTCTCCTTATATTTAGTAGTTCAAAGCACTCCACATAAAGCAAGGATGCTATTTCTCCCCATTTCAAGGAAAAAAAAATTACAGTTGTCCGATGTTTCACTAACAAAACCTCTAGATGTGAGTATGTGCCTAAATGCTCAGGGAATATCTTTGATTGCTACTTCCTTCAAGTTTAAAAAAGAACAAACAACACAAAACTCAGCAACCAAGAGGAGTAGGAAAAATTGTGACTTATATCCATAGCAGTATTGTAATGTAAATCAAGGAAGTTGCTCAACAGGAAACTCACAAACTTACTATGTGAGATAAAAATTTATTATTACTGATATTAATATATCTTTTCACCTCAGGCAAGCACTTAATGCAGTGATGAAGTGAAATTTTTGTCGAGATAATTCATTGTTGCGATCTCATACAAATTGTGTTGAAATCATTCTTTGATACATTTTCACAACTCTTTTTCACATCTTGCTTTTCTACGGTTATCTACGGTTTTTGGGTTTTTTTTTCCTAGACTGCTCTTTTAATGTCAGCCATGGAAAATACTTGCAAGTCTTCTGGGGAAAAATCATCATAAAGACAATCAAAAGGAAAAGCCTTACTCTTGCATCCAGGTAGTGATGTAAAATGAAGTCAATACACACATGTTAAGAATTCGATTTTTTTAATATTGAGATGAAGTTTCAAAAATACATTATTTAGATATGCACAGACTCAAAACTAAGTATATGTATTTGTTGAAGGTACAGCTTCAGAAATGATACAAAGGTTTGCTAGCAGAAAAGCTGTTTCATGCAGAATGGTTTGAATTATTCCTGTTGCACTCTATATTAATTTGTTCTTGTAAATCGGAGTGCAAGTATGCAAATTATGAAGTAGGATCTGTGATTTGCTGCCAACAGACAGTAGGTCATGTTTTTTGAATTTTCCATGGTCAAACCATGTTTATTTCTGGGCATGAAATGTATCCTTCACATCCTTTGTCATCAGATTGCCAGAACACTTGAAACTACAGTTGAGAATAGGTGCTCCACAAGGACTTACTTTGATTAAATCTCTGTTATACACAAGACAATGAGAAAAAGACGTTATATGTGGCAATATTGATGAAAAAAAAACGCCAAAGAATTCATACAGGATTAGCAAAAAGTGCACTGAAGGTCAGAGAAAGTCTGCTGGAAGCAAATGTGTCCATCTGTGATATTTCATTTTGAAAGTGCAATCAGAAGAGGTATATAGACAGCCTCAGTTACACGCTTGCTTCTGATATGCTTTAAATTATCATTTGCTATTATTAAACAGTTTTTATCTCCGTAGCATACAGTGAATGAAAGGATACTGTAAAGGGGAAACTGTTGATCCTTTTTTTTGTTGAATACATGTGAATACAATGCCACTGTCTGCTAACTACTGCCAGCTTCAACATTTTCAGGAGTCTAGAGGCATGCCATAGAAAAGATAGATGAGTCAAAAATCATGAACTGGCATATTTTTTGAAATGTCATGCATCATTTCTGTGCCCAAATTGCAGTTCTGAGGAATGAGCAGAAAATGATGATGGGAGAGTTATGTTTCTCATGTTCATGTTTCCTAATTAAATAAATCTTTATTGTAATTAAATAAGAATTTTAAGGATCTTCCACTACAAACTGCAGTAAGGGAGGGTGTCTAGATATTTGGATATCCATTAAATAACTATTTCTGGCTAGATACCTGCTAGTATTCAATATACGTCTGTATACATACTTATTTTATTTTACAAGATTTTTGAGTCCTGACATACAGAAAATGCAGGAGAATGTCATTTTTCCTCTTAGCTTTTTTGAGTCTTGCAGAAAGGAGAGGTTCACTTTTTTTACATTGCATCTCATTGTTTTCTGTATATCTGCTCCTATCTTCGTTCATCCTTGGCTTAGGTACTGTTAAAATCATGCTTTTTAAACCAGCTTTCTCAATAATCTGGTAACTACCACAGCTGTTCCTTTAATCTGATAGACTTACATAACAACTGTCCTTACTGATCAAAAATGACATTCTTAACATCAATAAATTCTTAGGATTTTCTGACAGGAAATGTTTTCTGGGACATGCAATACGTTGTTGGAGTGTGCTTGTCAATATTTTTTTCTGGAAAATAAATCAAGTATTCTAACAAGATAACTAAACAATAAACTAAAAAATTATCTTCTTGAGCTAGGATGTGTTTCTTTTTCATTCTTATTTGTTCTAATGAGCTTTGGCATTCCTTCTCCAAATATTTTATCACATATAAGCCTGTATTGTCTCTTGACATATTATGTTTTCCCAGTCCATCTTCTTGGAAGAATTCCATTTTCAAGGTTTAATACATTTAAACCCTATAATAGGGATATTTTCCTCAGATTATTGTAGTGTAATATTAAACTTCTACTTTCAATTGTTTCATATGAGTGATAAAATTAATACTCTCCACTATGATTCTGATTTTTTTCAAGTAACTGAATAGACTGAAGTCAAGAATTGTTTGGTAAATGAACATTTATGTTTACTTATGTTTCAAGGTTGGATAAGAAGTGCTAACTGATAAGTTAGCACTCCTGTGGCAACAGCAGTAAATGGTTTCTTCCTTCTTCTGCTCTTCTGCAGTTAAACTAAGTAAGAGAATTAACTACATAAGTAGCTATGTAAAATGGAAAATCCAGGTAAATTGTTTAAGACTTTATATATATGATAAAAAAAAAAACTATTTTGAAGTAAACTTTAGAAACAGTATTGGATTTTTTTCTCTGAGGGGAGTTCAGCTAAATCCTCCAAATGCTTATGTCAGGCAGAGTTCTGACACAAAAATTTAGTGTGCTGTCTCCAGAAATGGCACAGAATACTCCTATTTAGTTTGTAGAAGCAGAAAAATTTAAAATTTTTATATCTTAGAAACCTGTACAAGAAAGAGGCATGATAGTGACTACAGTCTCCAGAAAAATGGAAGATGTTAGTTATTTTTTTATTCTCCAGATGCACTGACACTACTATTAATGTTTGCAGTCTTACAGAAAGAACTGGTGATGTGTTTTCTTCTCCCTTTGATATTAATGCTAAAAAGAGTGTTTCCCAGGTTTTCCAGAGACCCTTTTAGATTTCTGTATTTATTGAGGAATCCATTGCCACTGAAGGTTTGAAAAGCAATTTTAGGTAAATCAGTAGTTATTGTAGCATATGTCATAAGATTTTTTCAATCTCCTTATGTAAATATTTCTAATAAAATGATTAGTGCTTTCTGTATGCTGTTGCAGCTGCCCCCTTTGTATCTTCTACTGTAAGAAAAGTTCAACTAGTCATATATAGCTAAGGTCACAATTAGTTTGTCTTGTTTAAAGAAATGGAACTTTGTGAGGTAATGAATAAACAGTCAAAATTGCAGGGAAGAAGGTCTTTCAGTGTTTGACCAGAATGAGAAGCTCTATTAAACAGTGTTATTGTGCTCTTTGTGTCTTGTATTTTCCATGGAAGTAAATAAGAGGCAACCTGCATATTTTTTTCCTGGTGAAGAACATAGCTTTTTAAGTGGAAAGTTCCTGGGTATACTTCAGTTGGAAGTTGATGCTTAACAACTGTCAGCATCATGTGAGCTTCTAAGCCTCTGCTGATTTACAAGGTTCTATTCTTTTATTTATAAAAAACATTAAAAACAATTATTGATGTAGAATTTTTGCATAACTTATCAGCCCTACCACAGATCTGATTGACATAACTAGTTCTATTGAATGCAAAGTGATGAATGAGAAAAAATGATTGGTACTGATGTACTAAATGAGTAAATGAAGAGTGATCAGTACTGTCTGAAGTCTTCAAGCAGATATGCTACTCCTCAGACAGCGCTGACATGAGCTGAAGATGCATTACAGTTTTTTTTATCCCATTCAGAAAACAGCAAGGTAATTCATGTCACATTACAAGACTTAAAAAAAACCTTCTAAAACTATGCAAGACCACAGTCTAACTTTGCCATGCTTCAAGAACTTCAAAGAAAATGTACAAATTCTGTTAGTTAATATTCTCTCTCTACTCTGGAATGGTGAGAAGGTATAAACTGCAAAGATATTTTTGAATGCTATAATTTGTTATTCTTGTGATGCTGTTTCTTTTCTCATAAAATGAAAACGTTTGTTAAATTTGTATGACCGTGATGGCAAGGAGCAGTTTTGCATTTAAAGTTTTTTTTTATTGAGTGTTATTTTTCATTCAGTTTTAACATTGATACAATTCTGATGAGTAAGCTCTTCTTCTAATTTTTTTTTCAAGAGAACTAAAGCATGTGAGAAGACCATTACAGTTGGGCAGACGGTCATAGCGAAACATAGGAATACGAGATACTACAGCTGCAGAGTCATTGGAGTGACATCACAGCTTTTCTATGAAGTCATGTTTGATGATGGTTCTTTTAGTCGGGATACTTTTCCTGAAGACATCGTGGTAAGTACTTTCTTAGAGAGGGCTTGGTTTGTTTTACTCTTCACCTTTTGTTTTTGAAGATTAGCAAGATGGAGCATCTTGAACTACTTCTTTTGACCTTGAGGAGATAATGTTTGGTTTGTGTTTGTTACTTTTGCTGCTGAGATTGATTCTTTTCTAATGGGCTTCCAAATAGTGGTTGTTCTAATTAGTCTTTGCCATTTGACCAAATGTATCAGAAGTAATCTTACAAAGCCTTTTAATTAAATGAGAAATATGTATTTAATAAAGGAGATGAGAGAGGGAATTCCATGTATCCTTATCTGTCTCTCAGAGATAACTTGTAAAAATTCCTTGCTGAATAGAAAAATCCTGCTGTAATGGGAAGAATAGCACTCATGAATCAGTTCTAACAACTTGTTTACACCTTCTGATGTTTAGCTTGTGAGATTACATTATTAATGATAAAAATCATCAGGGAGGAGAATGTGTAGTTTACTGCATTTCGAAACAGCAGTTGAGATTTTTATTTCCCTAATGCACTTATATAAGCTGCCATGTTTTTCAGAACTGTTAAGGGCTACATTGTGAACTTAGTTAGTGGTTCCGAATAGAATTTACAAACAATTGTGAAAATATTCCTTTTCCTTCCTCATTTACGATGAGTAGATTGGATGATAACATTTGTTCTGTTCATCAGGTGCTTCATGATGATTGCGCTGCAATATGAGTGATCCTCTTTTAACCTTCATGCATGTCTGAGGCTTCTTTATGCTGAGCTTATTTTCTGGTGTATCTCCAGATAAATCTCTGGAAGTTAGAGCCTCTAGGGTACACTGGCTTTCAGAAGTGCTTTGTGTTGCCAAACTGGTTTCACTTTGCCCTGTGCAGAGGTGGAGAGTCTGGCATACACACCAGTGCATAGGAATATATACTTTATTAATATATTTTCCAGAGGTACAACCCTTAGCAGGGGCTCCTCTGTGTTCCTTTACTGTAAAGATGTCTTTGAACTATTCTGTTTTCTGCAGGCCTGATGTTTTCCTGGCGGTAGAATTAGCTGACAGATAGCATCAGTGGAAATGATACTGTTGTTGTTAGAAGTTTCATAGTTATTGAAAAGTTGTCTGCCTTTTGAAAATACAGCATTTTGAGAGGGTACATTTCAGAGCAGTATATGGGGATTGAGCTGTTTACCTCCCACTGCTGTTAATAGAAAACAGTTAGCAATTCCCCGCTACATGTCTTTGAAAATTTATCCTTTAATTTGAAACACTCTGAAAAGGCTCCATTAATGATCAAACTTTGATTTAGGATGATCAAGTTATTAAGCAAATGTGGCTGTATTGTTATTAGAAACCCCTCTTTTGTATATGTCTGCATCATGGTATGGCAGAGATGAGAAACTGCTTGCCACCCTAGTGGGGTATTCTGATCTCGAGCTAAGAATAAATGTAATCAGGTCTGGATATGCCTCAGTGCTTCCTAGATAGCGGATGAACAACATATAATTGTTTGATGGAAACACCAAACGAATTTCACATTCCTTAGAGAAATCTTGTTGTGTTTTCATTAGATAATACACCTGCAGCCGTTACTGGAAGGGAGGAAAAAAATGTTTTTTCTTCTGCCTGGACTAAAACTTGCTAATCCATGCAATGTGCGTATCAGGTGTTAGTGCCGCCGGGAAGACTTATTCATCAAATCTGGTGTGAAAGCAATGTTGCTGCCTATTGAAGAACTTATTTTTCTAATCTGTTTTCACTTTTCAACTAGCTCACAAAGATAGCAGCAGCTTTCTGCTTTCCCAGTATATGCTGAATCCTCTACATAATTTCAGCTCAGCTCACAATAGACCACAATTCCAGTGTTCAGACACAGTGATTTATTTTTAAGAAGGAAAACAGGGAGCAGGGAAATTTCAGTCTCAAAGCTTCTTGAAACTGTTTGTGTGTAAGTATTCAATAACTTCCAAAACAGAGTGTACATTGTTCTGTTCTCATGTGGATTTTTTACTGTTTGCATTGACATTTACTACTCAGATCAGGATTTATTAGCTGTAGGTGTTAGATATATAGATGTAGCAATATAGATTCCTTTTATTTCAAGCTATTGCTTGTATTGTGTTTGATTTCTGCCTTGTCAGAATTTCTGACAGAATTTGAATAATCACTTCTCAATTACAGTGTTGAAACCTATTAGACAGCATTTTGGTGTGCTAAGAAGCCAGCTTTCCCTTCTATCTGGTAACTGTTAGAGGGTGCAGAGAAGCATCTATGGGTACGTATTTTCTGGCAGAAACAGAGGGACAGCTTCTTCTTCAAATGCTGGAAAGACTGCAGTGAAGGGATAGTATGTGATATCTTAAAGGGTGTGACATGGCAGCTGCAGCAGTTACCTTAACGATGCCAACATGCAAGGGAGGAGTGCATATGCTGTCCTGAGTAACTGCTTCCGAGAAACAACAAGCATGTCACTTGCTACTTCTTGAAGGACTGATGTACTCTAGCTTGCCATACAGCTGCTAGTTCAACAACAGGAGGAATTCCATCCAGGTCGGCAGGACAGATGTCAGTATACCAATTCCACATCAGGAAATGTCACAGATCTTTGGCCTGCTCAATTCTTTTTCATGCCTGATGGCCATATCTTGAGTGGTACAGCACAGCAATTTGCTGTAAATTAATATTCTCAGTCAGATTTATTTAACTGTTTATTTATTTGCTTTTCTCTACATTGTAGCTGTCAATATTGCTTACTAGCAAGTATAACTGTACACACACACATATGTATGCATATATATAGCTTGAAATTAGAGCTAAGGATGCAGTTATTTCTATGTTTTTTATGCAATTGAAATCTCAGCTAAACAAGGAGGCCTTGCAGTATACTTGACTGGGGAAAAAATGGTTTCACCAAATTCTATTTATTCCAAGGAAGAAAAGAAGGAAAAGAGGTTACAGATAACATGCTTTGCCTAATGGTGAGTATGTGAGTATGTCTGATTACAGGAGAGGTGAGCAGATCTCTCCTGAAATGCCAGACATTGTTTCAGGCCACTTGCCCAACTAATTACTGTGGTTCTCCAATTGCCATTTTAAACAGAATTGTTTGCTGTCATGGTTTCACTTGTGGCTGTCAGGCAAACAAGGTGAATAAAAATAAGAGTACTTACTCATCCTGTCTGTGACATATCCACATTGTGTTTTAGTTTACCGTCAAGTTTATAAATCTAGGGATTCTCCATACAGATTGTAAGCTGATCTGTGGGTTGTCATGCCTACAACCCAAAATGGACTTTACTGATTAAAAGCAATAAATTGAATACCATCCAGTTGTGGTTTAATTCTGGGAGGCAGCTAAGCACTGAACAGCCACTCACTCACTGTCCCCACAGGGGACTGGGAAGGGAATTGGAAGGGCAGAAGTGTGAGAAGTCATAGGATGAGATAAAGGGAGTTTACGAAGTAAAGCAAAAGCTGTGTGTGCAAGCAATACAAGCCAAGAAATTAATTCACTGTTACCCACAGGCAGGCAGATAGACACTCCAGCACTTCTAGGGAAGCAGGGCTCATCACACGTAAATTCCTTGTGAAGACAAACACTGTCACTCGCAATATGCCCTCATTCTTCCTTCTGCAGCTCAGCTTTTGTTGCAGAGCTTGACACTGGGTGGTATGGAGTATCCCCTTGGTCAGTGTGGGCCAGCTGTCTTGGCTGTGTCTCCTCCCAGCTTCTTGTGCAGCTCCAGCATTCTGGCATGAAGAAGAGCATAAGAAGCAGAAACGTCCTTGGCTCTGTGGAAGCCGTGCTCTGCAACAGCTCTTATGTGGCTGTGTGCTCAGCACTGTTTCCATAAAAAATCCAAAGGAGAACATCATATGAGCCAAAGGAGAATATCATATGAGTGACAAAAATGATCTCTGCCAGCCAAAAGCCTGACACATCCTAAATGCTCTTTCAGCTGATGGAATGTTGCTGTAAATGTTCATTATTATGCAATAGCATCTTGCGGGATGTGAGGTGTGTATGATCAGGTGTTTGGAGATATATATTCAGGAGTCCATGAGTTTGTTTTTCAGACCATGTTATGATGGTTTCCTCCAGTATTGATAGAATGCCGTAATTTTACTATTAAAAAATTGTTAAAGTGTAGTTTAAGACAGCATCTATACTGCACCTGTCAAAAGCAGGAACAAGGAAGTTTTGCATGACTAGCTGGCTTATCTAACAAGTAGCTTGATTTGTGTGTTTTGGGTCTGACATTCTTTTCTGACACACCCACAGTGATATGTGGAAACCTTAACCTTAATCAGCAGAATTGTACTGATGCTAGTTTAAGTATCTTCTTTCAGTAGTGCATCCAAGACAGCCTTTGCCATCAGGAGGACAGTGTAGATTACGCTCTATCTTTTTATGTCTGTCAATACTTTAAAATCACCATTACCAGAAAAGGGAGGAATAGGACTATTCAGAATTCTGACAGCTGAAGTACATCACTGAAATTATCAAGAAGGCTACAACTTTTCACAGTGTGCACCTAAATTTCACAGAACCCCAAATTATTATCTTCTCCTTTCTTTGTAATAAATTTGAGCTCATTTTAGTTACTAGTATTTGTAGGAAGACCTACCTGAATAATATCAATGTAATTTGAGAAGCTATTCAAAAAAACTTTTCTCAGTCAGACTTTTCTTGCAGTTCTCTACCTCAGTCCCTGCTGACAGATGCTCACTTTACACCTCTACAAAATTATGAAATGAAAACTTCAGTAACTCATGGCTCACACTCCAGTGTATACATATACTGTGTGCATAGGCTTGCCAATTATCTTTTCTTTCTTGCTGGATACAGACTTACTGATATTCTGAATGATTCTTTCTAGCTTATATGTCTTCCCGAGGTCTGAAGCCGCATAGGCATCTATTATCTTGGAAGTTGTCCAAGATGAAGTGAACTGATTGCGGCATAGGTGTAGGGGTAAGAATACAGATTGTCCTGAGGTTATTATTGTAAGGCTG